ACTGCTCTAAAAAGTGCATGGTCGTATCCCTTTTTTTTTTTTTTTTTTGTCTTTACACTGGACAAATCATGCATTTTTATTTACCTGTTTGAAATGATGTTAATATTTGTCCCACTCGACTGTAAAGATGTGAGAATAAGGATAACTATGAAGCAGTTTAAGAAAGGATGTGAATCCACTCAATCCATTTTAAGTTGTTGGTTCTAAGTGGTAGATGGATTGATTAATGACAGAAGGATAAATAAGAATCTTTTTTTTCTATAATTTCTATCACCATTCTATGGGTGGATGAGATCTTAAGCATACCTTGATGTGGTTGAATAAAGAGGAAGTATAATGTCCTGGTTGGGGCTTCTCTGGTGCCTCAGCAGCACAGAATCTGCCTGCAATGCAGGAGCCGCAAGAGATGTGAGTTCGATCCCTCGGTTGGAAAGATCACCTGGAAGAGGGCATGGCAGTCCCATCCCAGTATTCTAGCCTGGAGAAGCCCATGGACAGAGGAGCCTGGCACGCTATAGTCCATAGGATCACAAAGAGTCAGACACGACTGAAGCAACTTGGCACGCACGTATGCATGCATAATATCCAGCTTACGGATAAGTTCAATGATCAGTACAGAGAATATCAAGGAGAATGAAGTAGGACTTGTATCCCACAACTTTGCATTGTTTTTCAGGTGTAAAAATAAGTGGCAGGAAGGTCTCTGAGGCCTCACTCCAAAAACCCATTATTGTAGTAGGACTGAGTTTAAACCAGTGCATCTGCACCTGCCACCTGTCCTCCTGGGTCATTGAGCGTGGGCATCTGAGAAGGCAGAAGCAGGGTGCAATATGCCAGGATTGCAAAGTCATTTGAATAACAAGCCAGGGGAGCCAAGATTGAGGTTAAGAACTCTGGCCTCATTAGCGCCGTGTGTCAGCCACCACAGCTGTGCATGTAACGTCTTTGGTCCAGGCTCTTTGCTCAGCCCGAGAATCACAACGATGCATAAGCAGTGGCCCTTATCCTTGAGACCATTATAGTCTAACGGGGGGAAAAGACCTGTGAGTAGGTAGTTTTTATGCCAAGGCGCTGTGAGAGCAGCCATAAAACTTGCAAACTGTAAAGCCTAAAAGAAATAAGAGGTATTCTTTTTGTGGGGCACATATTATATGCCAGGCACTGTGCTGGGCCTCTTTCATGTGTCATCTCTTTTAACCTTGGAAGTGTTATGAGGTGGACACTATTACTATGCCTTTTGTTCCCTAACAGAATTGAAAACCAAGGTTCCCACAGTGCCAACCAATAGAACTTCCTTCAGTGATGGAAAGATTCTAGATCTGCACTGTCCCATGGCTAACTGCTAGCCGCACATGGCTGTTGAGAGTGCTTGAAAAGCAGTACTGAATTTGTTCTTTTGATTTTAAAAGCCACTTTTGGTCAGTGACTACCATGCTGGACAACTCAGGCTTAGAACTAAGTTCTCAACTTCTCCAAGTTGATCTGCGTGACCTGCTTCTCCATTACTTCTGCTCACCTCCTACTTTTGTCCTCACTCACCCACTCTAGCCACAGTGACCTCCTGAAGGTCACTCAGATACACCTAGCATGTCCTGCCTCTGCATGGCTTCCTCCCTTGCCTCCTTCGGGCCTTTGCTCAAATGTCACCTTCTCAAATAGGCCCACCCTGGACGTCCCTGAAATGCCCAGTCTCCCTTACCCTGCTCTTATTTTTATCACTCATGATTGTTAACTTCCCTGCTGGCTCGGATGGTAAGTAAAGCGTCTGTCTATAATGCGTGAGACCCAGGTTCAATCCCTGGGTTGGGAAGAGCCTCTGGAGAAGGAAATGGCAACCCACTCCAGTACTCTTGCCTGGAAAATCCCATGGACAGAGGAGCGTGGTAGGCTACAGTCCATGGGGTCGCAAAGAGTCGGACATGACTGAGCAACCACATCATCATCATTGTTAACCTACTGTGAGTTATTGTGCTTATTAGTATTATTTATTGACTGTCCTATCTCCCCACTCTGTGAATGCATTGAAGGAATTTTTTTTCCTTTTCTTTTCGTCTCCTTTGCATTCTGACATATCCTTAATGCCAAGAACATGACCTGAAATATAATAGTCACTTAATAAACATTGATTCACTGACTGAACTGATAAGATTCAGACCTGCCCTGTCCACACTAGAATCTGTGTTCTCTTTTTTTCTTCTTCTTTTTAAAAAATTTTAGCCTTACTATTCAGCTTGCAGGATCCTAGTTCCCCAACCAGGGACCAAACTCAGGCCCTGGGCAGTAAAAGCGCAGAGTCCTAACCATCAGACCGCCAGGGAATTCTCAGAACCTGTGTTCTTCTTCACTACACTGTACTTCCTGTCTTATAAGCATAGTGTTCTTCCCAAAGTAGATGAGAGCAGGATCACCCAGGAGAAAGCAGGATCCCTTATCTGTCCAGTTTCATGCATCATTGCATGTCTTCAAGGAAATAAACATCAGGTTGCTGCCATTTAGACAACAAGCTGTTTTTTACGTGTCAGTCCAGAAGAGCACACCAACTCAATTTAAAAGGCAACGTTAGTCCCTCCACTTTACACATTGTAAAAGGAAGAGTGTGGTCTTTTAGAGTCTCCTAGGGTCGGCTGGAAGAGATGAAGAATCCAGCTCAGTGCCTGTCCTAAATGGGTTTTCACTTCCTTTTGGCATCCATTTTTGTTTCTGATCCACCTCTGTGGAATTTCAGCTCAGTTTGGATCAAGGCAGAGCCTGCCCCACAGTCCCCAAAACCCTGGGCCAGAATCCCTCTGTCCCATTTGTGACCTTGTGGTCAAAGCAGCCGGTTTCCTAGTGGAAAGCAGACTGGTCTCTAGAGTCAGAAGAACTCTGCTACATTTTATTTTCCTTTGTTATTTCATTTAGCCTCACAGCACTAACAACAAAGGGTGAAATGATTACATGTAATACAGAATTTCAGACTAATCTGATGGACACTGAAATCTGTTCTTAGATCTTACCTATCAACCCTGAAGTGGAATTTCTTTGATCTTTTTAAAATTTTTTACCCTTTTCCTCAAAGAGACTATTATATCCAGTATCTCCATTAATCAGAATTGTGTGTACCACACACTGTGATGCTTTACACATATAATCATTACTTATTACAAATTTGATAATCATTACAAATCAGATAATTATTACTGATTACTGAATACAAATTTGTATTGATGAAACTGCAGCTCAGGTTGAGTAAACTTGCCCAAGATCCACCTCTAGCAAAGGGAACAGTTCAGATCTGAACTTATGCCATATTCTTTTTTTTTTTTTAATGTGGACTATTTTTAAAGTCTTTAATTTGTTACAATATTGTTCCCATTTTTTTTGTGGGATTTTCCCATTATGGGAATTTTCCCATTATGTTTTTGTGGGATCCTAGCTCCCTGACCAGGGATTGAACCCACACCTCCTGCATTAGAAGGCAAAGTCTTAACCACCATAGGAAGGTCCTATGCCATATTCTTAACTGCTTTTAATGACACTATGCTGAGTCATCAATAGGTTGTCATGGAGTAGCCATGGTTTCTTTTGTCTCTTCCAAAAAAAGAAAATTAGGCTAAGGTTATCTGTTTTAAGTTTGCTTGAAGGGGCAAAATAGTGCAGCTTATGCAAAGGGAAAAGTGTAATCATATCAGCTCCCCTTCTGTACAGGGCCTAGAGTTTCGTCCTTTAGAAAGTCACAGGGCAAACACCGAAGCATTGAAAGCAACAATAAGCACTCTTTACTTAGCACTCAGTAAACAGTTACCCTGAAATGATAACCAAAGGTGAGTGAGTGATGTTTGATAATGTTCTCATGTCCTTCACTGCCCTTCCTCTTTATTCTTGGCACTCCTGCATCTCCCGTGGCTTACTGCAAAGACCTCCTCAGTCTATTCTCTCTCTGCTATCTTTCCTCCAGTACATCTTCTGTTCCTACAGTTATCTCTTAGAAGATATAGTTATTATTTGAAAATATGGATCTGGTCGAGGCACTGTGCTGCCTAACAACCTTCCATGCCCTACAGCATGGGGCAGCCTTCAGTGCAGGTTTGCTCTCTCTTTCTCTCCCTTGCCTGCCACTTGTCCTCTTCCCGCCATCACTGCACCCTCTGCTGTACCCTGCAAGACGTTAGTCTTTCTCATAGCCCTGTGTCTGCATATGCTGTTCCCTGTGGCAGAAATGTCCACCCCTCTCCCTGTTTGTTCACTGGTTGAACTGCAGCCCTGAAGGTAATTTTCTACCTTTATTACGTTTACTTCTATTATGGAGCCTATCAGCATTGTGTGTTAGTTAGTTACATATGTCTCTCTTTCCATTTGACTTTGGGCTCCTTAAAGGCAGGACTTGCATTTCATATTTGCATTTCTGTGTCTCTCATCACTTCTGGCATATAGAGGTATAGAGGTACAGAATACATGTGCATTGACTGGTCAAATGGATGGCATATTCAGAGTTCATTCTTATTTTCTAGAGGATTTCACCTCACATATGCTCAATGAATAAGTGGATAATAGCTTTTCTATACTCTTGTTTTACTTTATCTCTGTAGGTGAGACAGAAATTAAAAAGATAGAGTTGAACTGACCCTAAAGGGGAAAGAAAAGCAGACATACATCGGGACTTCCCTGGTGGTCAGTGGCTAAGACTCAGCACTCCCAATGCAGCAGCCCCGAATTCTATCCCTGGTCAGGGAACTAGATCCCACATGCTGCAACTAAGACTTGGCACAAATAAATTTAAAAAAAAAAAAAAGGTATATCAATACCAGTGTTTCTTCTTGAATTCTGCTTAAGGATTCTGATTATTTTTCAACTTATTTAACACTACATATCATGTCATGACCTAAGGACCTTATCAGAAGTCCCCCAAGAGGTTTATAATGGGTTCCTCTGATGATCTGAATTTGCTCTGGCTGGGAGGCAAAAGTCCCAAGTTAATCTAGTCCCAAGGGGCTAAATCTCTCTTTTTTTTTTCTCCACAGGGAAACAACTGGAAGGCATCTGGTAAGTTGGGTAGGACTCCTTACATTGGCTAGTTTATGAAACCAAACAGCATCCATGCATTTCAGGTTCCAGTCTGTGGCTTCCAGTTTGAAACTTAGCTCTCTTAAGCCACAGATCTTCACGTTCTAATACAGTGGTTCCCAGCCAGAAGGTACCAGTGTCTTGAGACATTTAGGGTAGATGGGCGGAGGCCAGGGTTGCTGCTGTAAACATCCTGCAATGCACAGGACACCCCTCTACAACAATTATCCAGCTAAAAATATCAGTGGTGCAGATATTTCACCAGACAGAGGATAAAAAACCCTGTCCTAAGGAAAGGCAAAATGATATATGCCCACCCCTGACCCAAGTTTTCTAACTATAGAAGTCATGAGGACCCCACGTTGGTCTTAAAACACAACTTTGTTGGTCTCTCAGACTCATCGCTGTCAGACACTGGATGATGGCTGGGCTCTGTTCCATTTCTGAGGAAACTGTAGGTCAGAGTTCTGACTGGATCCTAGAGCCTCCTGACATTTTGGTTGACCAAATGACCATTGCTTTGTTTGACCGGAACCAAGAAGCAATATGAGCACCTTCACTTGAAATAGGTCCACACTGAATACCATCTGGTCTTTCTTTCCCTCAACATGGTCCAGGTTAACTACTCCTGTTAATTTGAAAAGTCTGGGAACAATCTATGGCCATACCACCCTGAACACACCTGATCTCATATGAAAAGTCTGGAAACATCTTGGTCTGCCGAGCTTTATTTCAGTATTGATTTGTTAATGTTGGGGTGACTGTCAGGACTCTCCACTCACATGATCCACACTGATGGTTCTCAACAAGGGACATTTCTGCCACCAGGAGAATGTTGGCGGTGTCTGCAGACACTGGTTATCACCACAGAGTGCGTGAGGAATGCTAGTGCTGTCTAGTGTGAACAGACCACAAACTGCTAAACCTTCCAGAATGCACAGGCCAGCCCCCACAACAAAGGATTAGCCAGCCCCAAGTGTCATTAGGGCCAATGCTGAGAAACTCTGATCTATGATATTTATCTTATCTTTGTTTGGTTAGGATTATAAAGCTGTTGACCTTGTAATTCATATCCTGAGGCAGAAGTTACTCTTACAGCACTGTGGTGTTTGCTTTTCCTCAGACCAGTTTTAAGCCATCTGGCTCATTCTACCTCTTCTCTGTGTTGCAGGCACACCTCCATAGTCGTGCACAAGGATGAGTTCTTCTTCGGCAGTGGTGGTATCTCCAGCTGTCCACCAGTGAGTGTCTGCCCCCATCCTGTCCACTGTCCCAGGTTCCCGGGGGTTCCCATAGTCCAGGAACCTTGCTGTCCTCCGTAGTTCTGGTGTCTAGCCTGGTGTCGGTAGCCCTGTGGCGTAGTTCTTCATGATGACCTCAAGACTCAGTTCAAGAATACCCCTCACAGATCTGCCAGGCAGCTGCCCTCCTCTCTGCTCCCATGGCATTCGTGGTTCCTCTGTCACATTGGGCATGTGATGGTGAAACGGGCCGTTGCTGAGTCTCCACAGGGAGCCCCGTGTATGCTTCTTATAAGCTGAGACCATCTCACTCTTCTGCCACCATCACCAGCTCACTACCTCTCTCCTGGTATGAACTCAGTCAATATGAAGCTGATGAGGGCTCTGAGAGAGAAAGTGAGGTGCCCAAAGTTAAACAGCCAGTTGCAGCACTAGTACTAAAACTCAGGTACCTCTGACTCCAAATCCCATGTCCTTTTCCAGAAAATTTCTGTCTGAGCTATCTAAGGGTTGTCCCAGGAGGTACTCAAGCAAAGACCAAGAAAACATTCATTTTGATACTCATAAATGGGATGTCATGTTTTATTTCTTCCTTCTACTGGCCCCCCACCTCCTATAATGAATCCTTCATTAAGCCCAAGTCAGTTCCACCTTATAAGTGTATCTTAAAGCAGTCTGTCCCTCTTCATCTCTTCTCATTTCTCCAGAGTCTTCACCTTAACCCAGTCACCCTCATTTCTAGCCTGGACCACAGCAGTGCATCTGCTGTTCCTTCTCAGTTGGTTCTCTGTACAGATGGCAAAGCAGTTTTTTCAAAATCCATCTTTGATCATGGCATTCCCCTACTTAAATCAAAAGTCTCCCTACTGCTCGCAGAATGAAAACCAGAAAGCTCAGCATAGCCTACGAGGCCCGTTCGATCTGGTCTTGGCCCCTCTCTCTAGATAGCCTCTTTGCAGGTTGTGCCTTTCCCCACCCTCCCCCGCCTTCTCATTCCTTGAACACCTTGGACATTTAAACCTATCCTCTGACATCAGTCCACCTCCCTGATCCTTCACTAGGCTAACTCTCTCCATCCTCCAGGTGAGCTCACTGTCACTTTCTTAGACAAGTCTTCTCTGACCTTTTGGACTGGGAAGGTCCCCTGTTTTATATATTAATGGCATTCTGTACTTTTTCCAACAAGACCCTTATCACAGCTCATAATTATACATTGGTTTGCCTTTACTGCTAGACTGTAAGCTCCACGTGGACAAGAATCTTATCTGTTTGGTCCACATACCTCCAGTGCCTTGCGTGAGGCCTGGCATGTAGTAAGTTCTCAAAAACATATTTGTTATACGAGTGAAGATTAGTGGATCAAATAGTGACCTTTTGGTCTCTTGCACCTCTGACTACAGTAATCTGCTCACCACGCTTTTCCCTAGAATCTTGTCGGGCACACAGTTGGGTGCTCGAGCTATTGTGTGAATTTATGATCTTTTCGAGGAGCGCTGCCCTGAAGTGCAGTCTCTCACTCCCCAGCCCATTCCTAGCCCTCTCCTCCCCACTGATCCTGTTGCTTTCCTCACAGCTGGTTCCCCCAGGGCCTCAGTCTCTCCTTGCATCTGCTGCGGCAGTCTGTTAACCCATGGCTGAGGGGTTTTGGTAGGCCTTTCAGGGGCCAGTAACTCTCTTGCCAGGGGAACCCTATCACCTTGTTAAATTAGCCTCACAGATCAAAAAGGAACTGAATCTTGGAAATATCTGCCAGCTTTCTCACAGTTCTTCACATTTTCCCAGGGCTACAGGGTGGTATCAGGTGTGTCATATGAAAAGCTGGCTGCATCCATGATGAATATGGGCATGGAAAGATGGCCACCAGGTGTGAGGCATTTCCGGCCGTCCTACTCGGCCCTCGTGACTAGGCCTGCTGGGAACAAAGGGAGACCGCAGATTCTGGATTTCTGTGTCTATCCACTGAAGGAGTGGACAGTATCAGGAGTCCGACCTGCAGAAGACTTAGCTTCCCAGGGCCCCACCAGAAACCAGACACCCGACTTCTCAGCCATGCTGTCAGCCCACGGCCACGGACAGTCTCCAGGAGCCTCTAAGCTGTCGTAGCCTTGACACAAAGAAGAAATAAGTCTTCCTCTGCCCCAGGTGCTCTGAAAGTTAGAAGTTGTTGGAGCAGAGCATTTGTGGTCTTCCATGGCAGGGGAAAAAATTCAGCGGAGGGAGTGACTTACTGGCTTTCTTTGGGTTGGCTCTTGTAGGGAAGGACTTTGCTTGGGCCCCCAGATTCTGTGGTTGATGTTGGGAGCACAGAAGTCACAGAAGAAATCTTTCTGGAGTACCTGTCCTCCCTGGGGGAGTCTCTGTTCCGGTGAGTGGAGAACAGGGGTGGTGCGTCGTCATATCTGTCTCCCCCACTAGATAATTGGCCCCCAGACGGCAGCCACCAGGTCATTTCCCCCAGAGCACTCAACCCAAGGTCTGGCCCAGTATTTGCTGAACAAGTAGGATGAAAAAGGAGTTACTTTCCACAAAAAGAGCTCAGCACTGCCTCCAAGGCCACTGTTCCATCCAGCACACCTACTGCTGAAACTTTGAGAGAAGGAAGAGCTATTTATTCCTTCTGATTAAAAGCAGCTGCTGCTAGTTCAGCACATGCTGCTCTCAACCAAGTTTTTTGTCCTGAAAATCAGAAACAGGGTTTGTAAAGAGGTTGGGATGAAATACACTAGAGCAGGTTTTCTCTTACTGAAGCTTGAGTCAGTTTCAAGTGTTAAAATTCTAACCCTGGAGCTCGGCTTTTGTGAATGCAAATATTCTCCTGAAATGAAGGAGCCATATGTTTTATATGTTTTTATTTCATTCTTTCCTTAAAGTGCCCAGAGTGACAAACCATGCTCTGCTTTGGGAGTGTAGGAGAGGCATTTCCCATCCTTAGATTCAGCTGTGCTCACCATCCCATTGCCTGATTTCAGTTTCATGTACACACTTACTGACTTTTATATCTGTGTCCCAAACCTTTCTCAAAATGTATAGAAGTGAGGCCTACAACATCTTTGAGAACAACTGTAACACCTTCAGCAACGAAGTGGCACAGTTCCTAACCGGGCGGAAGATCCCTTCTTACATCACTGACCTTCCCTCTGAAATTCTCTCCACGTAAGTGGCCTCTGTCTCTGCCTCTGCCTTTGAAATCCCCACTCACAGACAAGGTCTCTCCTCTGGCCGACATCTGCCTCCTTCCCCATCACTGCCCCACCCCCACCCCCCCACCCCAATCTCGGCAGAATCCTGCCAGGCTGGGTGGGGTGTCATGATGGCAGCTTCTACCATGAAAGGCCACCATTCTTTCTGCTCTCGGAGGCTCACCTGTGTTACCTTCACCCTCCTACTCTACCCTGTACCAACTCTACCCTGGCCTGCGTGCAACTGCAGAATTTAGAAACCCACTTGATGCCGGCCCCAGTGTTTGTACAGAATCCTGGCATCTGTCTTTCCCATTGCACATGAAGCTTGCCACTCCCCAGAAGTGCCCGGTTAAAAGGCAGTTTAGATGGACGAGCAGAGAGTAAGTTGGAGAATTAGTCAGGGGACTTGTTTGGAAACTATCAGTCTTTCTTCCCTTGCACCTTCAGCTCTTTGACATCCTCAAAGACAACCTCCCAGTCAGCCTCGTACCTCGTAGCACATAGACAGCCCTCAGTAGATGTTTTCTTCAGAAGCACTCTGGAGCCCCTCCCACCCTGATGTGGGCCGAGCTTTGTGGGCCGTCACCCAGGCAGCGTCCTTTCAGGGGACACACGCACCCTCAGTGCCACCTCACCCCTCCCTCCCATTGCACTCAGGCAGCCTCTGCCCCCTGCAGGAGCAGGCCCCTTTCCTGACTCAGTTCCTCTGAACTGAGGACCTATCCAGCAGAGATCTGTCAGGTTCAGCAGCCTCAGCAAGGCGAGCTGTCCTTCACACCTGGGTCAGAACCCCTCGGGAAACAAGGCTGTTGTCAGTGTCTGGCCAGCGAGGAGGGCCCCACCTCCCTGGCCCTGCTTTCTACTCCTTAGTGGGCGTGTTAAACCCCGCGGCAGGATCTAGGTTATGGGCCCTGAGTAGCTGGAGTGTTCTCGCTGTTATTATTTGATGCGTGGAGTTCCTGGACTTGTCTGAATTAGGCTTACTATTTCTTGGTTTCCTCTGTTTATGCTTTAGAATATTTCACTTCCTTTGAATTCAGGGATGGTTTTCAAAAATGGCAGTAGCCACCGAAGGAAAAAATAAAGCCAATAACTGAGATATTTTGCGGGCAACCCAATTTAAAGTTGTAGTAATCTTGGAAAGTCTCTGTTTTTTATTTTTGGCTGTGCCACACAGCATGTGGGATCTTAGTTCCCCAACCAGGGATCGAACCCACATTGGAAACAGAGGGTCTTAACCACTGGACCACCTGGGAAGTCCTGGAGAGTGTCTGAGACTACAGTATCTGCAGTCTTTTTTCCAGCTAAGCTGCTCTCAGAGCACACTGGGCAGTGGCATCGACACCTTCTGACAACCTGCACCTGTCGTTTTCCCTGAATACTGCCGATACTCCCCAGAAGACCCCAGTCCCCCCAAATCCAACTGTGTGCCATCTTCACGTCTGACTTTTTCATTTCCTTTTTCTTTCACCTCAGCTTCCTCACTTAAAACTTTATCTTCTTATGCCATGAGAAAATACAAGTGCGGGAAGTACAGAAAACTCTGGTTCCCTGTATGTGGCCAGCCTGTTCAACCCACAGCTAACCAGCATGTAGAGGCGAAGGCAGTACGATGGTAGCGTACTGCCACTAGGTAGGAGGGGACCCCAGGAGTGAAAATGCAGAGCGACTGTGTAGAGATCCCCTCTGGGAAAAGGATGTGGGGGGCTCAGTCAGAAAATGAAATGAGGCAATAGAGAACTCTTCCCTGGCGTGGCAGTCCTGCTGCACACGCGGGCAGAGCTGAGCGTGGTGGCCAGCCGTGCTAGTCTGCGTCCGGGAGCCCACCCCAGCGCCCGTGTCTCTTCTCTTCGCAGGCCCTTCGGACAGGCCCTGAGGCCCTTCCTGGACTCCATTGCAATCCAGCCTCCCGGAGGGAGCCCGGTGGGCCGACCCAACGGCCAGAGCTAACCGGACTGCATGGGACCGCCCTGCCTCACCAGGGCTTTTCCTTTTTAAACAAAACAAACCCTACCAGATTTCTATTTTATAATTTTACATCAGAGCTAACAACCAGGGGACGGCTTTTTAAATTTCCCAGGGAAGGAAATCATCAGGCTGCATGTAGGACACAGCTGCTAAGACACAGAACAAATTGCCATCCCTTCTAATAGTATTATACTAATTTATTAAGGCTCTCTTGTCTGTGAGTTCACTTTTGACGCTGCTTCCTAAGCGTCCTCCCCACTGGAGAAAGGGAGGGGCTTTGTTTAAGCCAGAGGCACTGTTTGGGGGAGCCCCAGCCCAGAACCTCTTTCTAGAGAATGCCCACACTCCACCCAACTTGCCACCTGCTGTGGGACCCAGGTGAGTTTTACGTTATCCGTGACCTGGAAGTGGTTACTCGCCACCATGAAATGAACCAAAGGATTGGTGCACATGGGGCCAGTTTCAGGGAAACTCACCCAACCTAAGTGAACTCTTTAGCCACGATCTCTCTCACCTTCCCTCCCCTCCCCCAGCAAGGCCAGGGGGCCCGGACTGGAGCAACCAAAAGCCTCAGGATGCGGGGAGAGTAACAGCAAGTGCCAGTGCAGAGGAAACCGGATAAAGCCATGCCTCCTTCCACCTAGACTGATGGCCAATCCTCTGACATCGCTCTAGGAGAACCTCCCTTGCTGTCTGCGGTCTGCTTTTCCTCCGTGTAGCTGACCTGCCACAGTTAATGAAGGTCTGGAGCAGCAGAGACTCAGGCCTTTTGTCTGCAAGTAATAATGTAGGTTATTGACAGTCACTGTACCCACCCGACCCAGACCAATATGCAGTATTCAACTAGGGACCAAGGGGAAATGATTCCCTGCTCTTGGAAGATATCCCTGATGTAGAAAGCGTAATAATACAGAATCAAGGTGGCAAGAAAATGTAGAGTTATTTCTGATAGGGATTTGTATAGTATCCTAAATGTGTTTTGAAGGCAAGTGTTATTTCTGGTGTCCTTCTGACTTTAAGGAAGCAAGATGGAGGGCGTGAGTGGGCATTTTCATAAAGGGCTGTTGGCCAGGAGCTTCTAGGCAGGGAACAATCTGGAAGTTTCTAACCTGGAGAGGCTTTCAGATTCTCTTGCTTCCTGTGAGCCTCCCTTAAGTTGGGAGAATGAATATGGAGAACTCAGAGCTCCCTGGTGCCTGAGTCCTAGCCCTGGCCTCTGTGGGTCCCTCCTGCCATGGCTCTTGCCACTTCTCAGACTTGAATTATGTTCTGTTTCCTGGGGTCTGGCCTGCAGCAGGTGCCTTTCCTCTCCCAAGAGCTGCTGCTCACCTCTGGACTCATCTCCCATCTCTGCCATTATCATGGCAGCTGGCATTGTCAGGTCTCAACTGGAGGAAAAGATGTTCCTCTGCCTTAGTGTTTGCCTGTGACATGAGCAGGGCACGTCCAGGATGATGAGCTGTGCTATCAAGTGACATTTTGGAACTTTTAAGATTGGAAGCTAAACCAGTGAGCACTTTAGTCCTTCTCAAGACCCACTGATTTGCCAGTGTGTGTGGTAATGATATGTCAGAGCAGAAACTAGCAGGGCTGCTATTCAGTGTGGACCAACTGGCAGAACTAGGCTGTGGAGAACGTGTTTCAGGCTGGGTTCCTCCTAGGAGGGCAGCATGCTGGTGGAGGCCACAGCTCTGCTTCTTAGCCAGGTGCTCTCCTTTTTTTAGCTCACCTTGCCCAGCCCTCTCTTCCAGGCTCCTGCTCCAGACCCCTCTGCCCAGGGCACTGTGCTCTGGCCAGAGCATGGTGGGCCTCACAAGCTCCTTGTCTTTCCTGTCTTTCCCCACATCCCGGCTCAGCTGATTTCTCTCCTTCTAGTAGTCACCTTCAGACCCAGGGCTGTACCAATAAGTCAGCCTGAGCATCTCCCCGAGAGACTTTGAGTCCCTCGGTTCACGGAAAGCCGCCCTTCATGCGCAACAGCCATTTGTGCCAAAGCCCGTGCCTTAGGGCTTGTCCAGGACAAGGAGGGAGCAGTAAGCCTTCTCAGCTCTGCAGGAAGGCAAACCTTCCCTCCCCCACCCCAGTCCCACCATCACTAACTGGAAGCCCAGGCTCAGACTAGGACCCCCCAACCCCATCCTCACATTTCTCTGTATCCCAGAACCTCAGGAGCCTGCTCATTGTGATCAGCTATCTCCACCCGGGAGCACACAGGCAAGCGGAATGAGACAGGAGGCGTGTGTGATTGTATCACAGTGGGACGCCTCCATTGAGGTCCACAGGTCTAAAGGGGCAGGGGAGGAGGAGAGGGGATGAGACTGTCACCCCCTCCCAGAAATAAAGTTTGTACCTTGGAGATTGCTTTCCGCCCTTGAAGTCAAGCTAATAATTGTGTCTAGTGTGGAGGTGTTTGCTGGTTTTCTTTGGTGTTTTTTCTAATGCAATAAACTCACTTCTGCCTGCTGCATTTGCGTGCTGCTTGAGGGTCTAAGTCTGAAGCCAGCGTGAAGCAGCTCCAAGCTTCTGCTCCTTCTGTCTGCCTCTGAGCTTAGCTTTGCTGAGTCTGGAGATGCTGCCCATGCTTGGCTATATGCCGCGTGGATGAAAAGTGACGAGAGCAGAGAAGAATGTCTGACTTTCACCACCGGACTATAAAGGTGGAGAAAGGGCCCAGAGAGAATTTGACTAGCCTAAGGTCACCTCGTGGTTGGGGGTGGAGAAAGACTCAGAAGCTTGGTTTGCTGGGCCCAATTTCTGAGATCTCAGAGGACATCGACCTCACAAGAAGTGTCCACTTCTGGTTTCGGTTTGGCTGTAGGCTGGGTTTGTGCCCCCGGAGATCTCTCCCCACCTTGTTACCATCACCTCACTGAATAAGTGTTGGGGTGGATGGACAGGTCTCTGAATGACCCCTGATATGACCAGACACATCAGCTTGGCGGTGGGTGTCTGCGAGTTCAGTCAGGCCATTCCCCTCACAATGGATGTGAGATGTGAGCACTGGTCCCATTTTACAGATGGACAAGTGGGTTCAGAGGTGGCGAGTGGCCGAACTCTTGAATCCAGGCCATGTTCTCATCACCACCCAGCTGAGACATCATCATTGAGGCACTGCCTCTTTCTAATGTGCTAGCTTAAAAGCAAGAAGGGGCAGGAGGCAGGAGGGAGGTTCAAGAGGGAGGGGACATGTGTACCTATGGCTGATTCATGTTGATGTGTGGCAGAAGCCAACACAATACTGTAAGGCAATTACCCTTCAATTAAAAACATTTTTTTAAAAAGTAAGAGTTTCTGTCTTTCCAGAAGACACAGAGGGCAGGTGGCTTTAGCTGACATATTTGCTTCCCAAGAGCTGGCATTTTTAGGGTCAGAAGTCCTTGAGGAGAACCTAGTCAAGGGAGTTACCTGATTGGTCTAGTTCTGAGGATTTGGCGCTTTCACTGCCCTGGGCCGGGTTCCATCCCTGGTCAGGGAACTAGATCCTACATACGTGTGTCAACTAAGACGCTTAATTAATTTCAAAATACAATAAAAAAATCAGAACTAAATGACAAAACGCAGATCTGAGAGAAGCGCATTTCAGGCAGAGGGAGCAGCAAGTGAGAAAATGTAGGAACTGAAGGGGACTAGAGCAGTTGGAACTTGAGCAGAGCGGGTGGTGGGAGATGTCAAAGCTGGAGAGTGGGTTGGCCCAGTAGGTCGGAGAATGATGTGACTGGTTTGCACTGTTGAGAACAGCTGGGCGTGGGGCAGTTGGGGTGGACGGACGGCAAGAGGAGCAGCAGAAAATCAGGGAGGAGGGTAGTTCAGTTGTCAGGCCAGAGATGAGGGACACTGGACCTCTGCCGTGTGCCCAGAGCTGTGAAGAAGCCCTGGAGGTGGGTTTGGTTCCTGCCCCAGGGAGCTTAGAGTGTCAAGAAAAATGAAACAGCCCCTATGAAACACGCAAAGGCAAGAGCTACCAGGACTGAGGGCTGCTGTCAGCCACATGGCCCGCTTCTGTGAGCCTTCACTGTACTATTCCAGCTTTGTTTGGATGTGCTTGGATTTCTTAGTTTGTTTTTTCCAAAAGGAAAAATGTTGGGGTTATATGAGCTTCCCTGGTGGCTGAAACGGTAAAGAATCTGCCTGCAATGCAGGAGTTGCAGGAGACACAGTTTCGATCCCTGGGTCAGGAAGATCCCCTGGAGAAGGGAATGGCTACCCAGTCCAGTATTCTTGCCTGGGAAATCCCATGAACAGAGGAACCTGGCGGGCTCCAGTCCATGGGGTCACAAAGAGTTGGACACGACTGAGCAACTAAGCACTTTCATGTGAGTATAAAGGTAACATATATTTAGAAGATGTAAACAACCCATGAAAGTATAAAGATGGAAAAAAAAAAAGTCATCTAAAATTACATCATCCTAAGATATGTTAACGTTTTGTGAACATCCTTGCAAGATGTTTCTGTTGATTCAATGGTACACGTGTTAGACATGCTGTGTCATACCTAGCTTTGTTCTCTCAACATGTAGTGAAGATCTGAAGCCCCTAGCAAGGTGGAAGGAGAACCATGGAGGAGGGGGTGGGGGTGCTGGACAGAGCAAATTCCAAGAGGAAGTCATTCCAGCAAATTTCCCCAAAGCCTGAGGGAGCTAGTAGGAAACAGTAAGATGCTCGGGACTTTCCTGGTGGTCCAGTGGCTAATAAGCTTGTTCCCAATGTAGGGGGCCCAGGTTCCATCACTGGTCAGGGAACTAAATCCCACATGCTGCAGCTAAAGACCCTGGGTGCTTCAACTAAGACCCATAAGAGCCAAATAAATAACTTTTTTAAAAAAAAGAAAAGAGTAAGATGCTCATCAGAGGTGTGTGCCAGGAGATGAGGTGTATGATGGTGTAGGAGGATGCCTTCCCCGGCCAGCATGTTGAACCATGAGACCCATGTCTCCTTATGCTCACATGGGGACCCTGGCCTGAGAGGTCACACCACTGAATGTG